GTAAGCGTCAGGAGAAAGCTCGACCAAGCTATCGAACTATGTGGCCCCACAGCCGAGGAGGACGCGGACGAGGAGGTGACCTCTTGCGGGGCCTCCTAGGGGCCTCTTAGGGGCCTCTTAGGTGCCTCCTGATGCCTTGTGGGGCTTGTCGCCTCTTCGGGCTTGTCGCCTTGTGTGGCTTGTGGGGCTTGTCGTCTTGGAGCCATCTTGAGCGAGCCGTCTTGGGGCCACCGTGGCCGCCTTGGAGGGCACCTTGGACCGTCTGAGAGGCCGTACAGGGCCAACTTGGCCGCCTTGGGGGCAGTCTTGGCAGTCTTGAAGGCCATCTTGGGCTGTCTTGGGACCCTCTTGGGCGGTCTTGGGAACATTTAATGTCTCTCAGGCCGTCTGAGGCTGTCGGAGGCCCTCGATGGCGAGAATGCCGAATTCCTTGAACAGTCTGAGGAGAATCAATTACGGTTGCCTCTTGGCGCCCTCTTGTGGGTCCTCGTGAGGTCGCTTGGGGCGTCTTGGGGGGCCTCTTGGGGCCAGCTCGGCAGTCTTAGAGGCGTCTTGCGCCGTCTTGGACACCATCTTCGACCGTCTTGGGCCGTCTTGCAGGCCATCTTGAGCCATCGTGACAGTGCTGGAGGCGAGTTCTCTTGACTTTCTGGTTGGTTGCTGTTTTTCGTGGTGTCCAGGTGGCTAGCAGGTTGGACCGGAGGACGTTGGGATCAGACAGCGCTCTACATGTCGGAGGGCGCAGCGGATCGAGTGGCCTTCGATCCATCCAACCACCGTGCTAAGGTCGTGGATGCGAGGACTCTTAGAGGAATCTAGGGGTCTATTGGTGGACTTCTTGGGGGCGTTTTGGAAACCTCTTGGTGATATCTTGGGAGCCCCTTGGAGGTCTCTTGGGGCCTTGTTATTTAGTGCCTCTTGGGGTCTCTTCAGAGCCTCTTGAGAGTTTCTATGCGGTCTCGGGAACGATATTAGAGAAAAGGCTCGAAATGCCCGTTCGGGTTTCCCTTTTTGGGCACCTCTTGGAGTCGTCTTGGGGGCCTATCAGGCTCTCGTGGAGGCTTCGGGGGCCTTCCCGGAGCGAGCTCGGACTCATCTCGGGCCGTTCTGTGCCAGATCAGTGCCGACAAATCGAGCATGGCCAAATGGCGCAAAAAAACAAAGACAGTGGGTTCTCCCCACCCAGGGTTTTTATGTCCAAAAGCAAAAAACAAACAAAAGCAAACAACAAAAACAAAAACAGTGGGTTTTGATGTCTTGAGCCGGCCCAGGGGGCCGCACAGGACGGCCCAGGAGGCGCTCCGCGGGGCTCCAGGACGCGCCTCCTGAGCCCAGCTTAGGCCCTGCCGGATGCATGGAGTCCCAGCCGCTCTCCCGAGGCCTGTGGCTTGTGCCTTGTCGACCGAGTTTGCTTACCAGCCTGGAACATATCCCTATCCCTATGCTGGGCATCTCCTCGTCATGATGCCAATCTTAGGGATCCCGGCCACTCTCCCGGGGCCTGTGGCCTGTTTCTTCTCGACCGAGTTTACTTACCAGCCTGGAACATATCCCTATCCCTGTGCTGGGCATCTCCTCATCACGAGGCCAGTCGTAGGGATTCCTTGTTTTTTTGAGGGCAAATCATTGAGATTGTCGTCGCTTTTTGGCGTGTCAATCTTAGGGATAGGGATAAGTTCGAGGCTGGTAATTCACGTGGTGATTCACGAAGCTTCGGCGCGAGTTAGGTCGGTCTGAACACTGCGCGCGTTAGGGTTTTGGGCTTGTCATCAGTTGCGACCTCTTCATCGCAACCATCGGCCCCGAGAGAAAAATGACTACTCCCCCGAGGCCTTTGACAGCGTCGCGCGAGCCGCGCGCCCAGGAGCGCCGAAGAGCGCCCATGGATCCAGGCGCCCCGCACCTTGACGATCACGTGCAGTACTCGACGCAGGGATCTCGACTAATTTGGGCTGCGCGCCACTGGCGCGCCGGCAGAGGCAAGGCCACCAGCACGCCTACCTCTTTTCACCCTTTGCTTGAGGACACTTCGTTTCGTGCCTCGGGGCACGGCGGCGGGTCTGTGCGCGCCCCCCTTGCAGCAGGGCCTCAGTTGCCGTCGATCGCGCCGTGCCTGACCGCCGACGGGCCACGAGCCGGAGGTTGTCTTTCTGCCGCGAAGGAGTGCATTTGGCGGCGTACAGCTCCGTGGTGTGTCTTGGCATCGCTCGGACGTGTGCATTTTTTTCTTCGGCGAGGACCATCGAGGAGCATCCCTGATCATTATTTGGCGAAAAACCACGCACGAGACCGACAAATAAAAACACAGGGAACGGAAGTCCGAGCGATGGCCAGTTTGCCGTGCGCGCGGTGCAGCAGGCCACGAGTGGGGTCTGCCCTGCAACGACGGGGGGGCACGTTGACCCTGCTGCGCGGCCTGCGAGCGCTCCGCGCACGGCGTGCGCGAGACGAGCCGGGCCTCTCTGCCGCCTCGCGCGCCTCCGCCCGTGGCCCCCCGCGGGCGCCACCCTGCAGCCGACCCGCGGTGGTGGTCCCCGCATCCCGCGCTGGCAGGCGGCCCCGTCTCGAGGGAGGGGGCACGGTTCGGGTGTTGCTAGAAGTGCCCCTGGCCCAAGATACCCCCAGGATTCTCGGGGTGGCCACGACGGCCTCCAGGGCACCCTTCACGAGGGCCAGAAGGCCCCAGGGGCTCCAAAATGGAGCGAAAAGCTGGGGGCACCTTGGGCCAGGGGCACTTCTAGCAACACCCGAACGGTGGTTCTGGCCACGATTTAAGCAGTGGCGAAGCGTCCTGGCTCGCCTGCAGCCCTGCCCAAGAGTGTTCTTAAGGACCTTTTGCGGTTCCCACGAAGTGTTTTGGGGCCGTTTCTGGTTGAGACTGCCTTGCTCGAACCCATCGGGATTCTGTTCTAAGAACATCGTTTGTGTTCTTAGAACAGGTTTGGGTTCTAAGAAATTTCGTGGCAGGACTATAGACATGCCAGGACGGTCGGTCCCTGCTCAAAAGACGTCGCGGGGTTTTGTCGGCGCCGATCTTGGTCACAGTCCATGCTCGTCGTCATCGGTTCGCGAGGACGAGCCACGAAGTGACGCTGACCAAGGTCGGCACCGACGTCTCCGCGCTCAGTCTTGGTCATGGTCCATGTTTTGTTTCCTTCCGCCGTTGGCGCAACGGCTCGCTCTCTCTCTCTCTCTCTCTCGCGTTCTCTCCCTGCAATTTGGTTGGGATCATGTGGCAGCAGTGTGAGCCGAGCTCGTTGTGGAGGGGGTCGCTCGAGTTTTCACTTCTGCATGCCACCATTCCCTCCCTGACGGCCCGGCCTTTCTGGCAGAGGACAGCGAGAGGTGAGATATGGGAGCGAATGGTTGGAGGACAAGGGGGTTGGATCGAACGCTTGTGTGGATATACCGCTCTTCCAGACCCGCCTCCAACACTGCGGACGTATCACGAGGTCGGATACCCAGAATTCTAGCGGTTTCGCGTATCCTCACCAGCCCATCCAGAAATTACGCACATGAGGTTTGTTGAGGATGCGCAGGAGGAAGAGGGAAGAGGATACAGAGGAGAACGAGGATGAACAGGATCAGCAAGAGGACCAAAAGGAGGAGGAGCAGGAGGAGCTGGAGGAGTAGGAGGAGGGGGAGCAGGAAGGGGGAGGAGGAGGAGGAGGAGGAGGAGGAGGAGGAGGAGGGAGTAAGAGGGGGAACATCAAAAGGAGGAGGAGGAGGAGGAGGATTGAGAGGAGGAGAAGGCGGAGGAGGAGCAGGAGGAGGAGGAGGAGGAGGAGGTCTACGCTGATGTTGTTTGTTGTGAATGTCTCTTGCAGGGCTCGTGAGTGTCTTCTTGGGGCCCTCTCTGAGCACTCTTCAGGCTCTCTCCGGGCCCTCTTGGGGCCGCTTGGAGCCGTGTTGATTGTCTTGGGGCGTTCTTGGGGCTCCTTGGGGGATCTTGGGGCCTTCTTGGGGTGATCTTGGGCCCCATGGCTCAAAGAGGGCAGGTCACCAATTCGGACCCCCTCCCCCTCGGAAGCCACGCAAATGCCTCTCGGGCACTCTCGGGAGCGTCTTGGGCCGTTCTGGGGCCCGCTGAGGCTGCTCCTGGGGCCCTCTTGGTTTATCCCAAGCTTCCAGAGGCCCATCGGAAACGATGCGGCGAGAAGAAAAGGTCCAGTGTTTTCGGAAAGAGGTGGATCTTGAAGACGTGTTGGCCTTCGGCTCCGCGAGCACGTGGAGCCGTCTTGGGGCATCGAGGGCGACTGGAGCCACCCTGGGTCAGAAGGACCCTCCCCCGTCTAGACCGCGGGGTGGGATATGGGGGAGGGGTAACCGCCTCTTCGCATAGTACTGGGATGAGGAAAACGGGGTTCTGGAAGAGGGATTCCAAACCTCGTTATGCCAATTGCGCCCGTGGGCTGGTGGGACAAACGGCTCTATCTCTGTGCAGATGATGGCGCGGCAGCTCAGTCTGCGAGAGTCTTGCCGAAGTTGAGAGGAATCGCCCGTTGCATGTTCCTACTGCCCACGCCAAAGACCCCCTGCTTATCACGTGGGTCACGAATCAGATGTACTTCAGACCGTCGTTGGTCAGAGTTCTCTCCCAGCAATGTCAGGTCCCTAGGGAACACCACGTGGCATTGGAGATGTCGCGTCGGCGTCGCGCGTTCGAAATGTTCTTCACGATGCGGCTTCGGAGGGCTCGACGGCTTGCGATCACGAGCAGCCACGGAGGCCGCGGCCAGCGGCGAGGCGGCGGGGGCCGCCGGTGGGGAGGCCTCGCGGCCCGTGGCCAGGGGGTCCTCGTCGTCGGCGGGGGTATGCGATCCGCAGGTGCGCCCTCGAGGGCGCGAAGGTCGAGTAAAGGCGCATGCCAAGAGCCACCCTGCCTGCCTCCCAGGGTGCCCTGGGTTGCTTGGGCTTCGATGGTTTTGCGCGAGCCATGGCAGGCGGCAAGCTGCTGTCCTCGGCAGAGGGCGGGGCCACCCGCCGCCGCCGGCCCGCAGGCCAGAAGCCGGAACGCCCTGCACAGGATGCCGGGGCCGCGCGGCTGACCTGCAGGCCCCTCCTCCGCCTCCTCCTCCTCCTCCTCCTCCTCCTCCTCCTCCTCCTCCTCCTCCTCCTCCTCCTCCTCCTCCTCCTCCTCCTCCTCCTCCTCCTCCTCCTCCCTCCTCCTCCTCCTCCTCCTCCCCCTCCTCCCCTCCTCCTCCCCTCCTCCTCCTCCTCCCCCCCTCCTCCTCCTCCTCCTCCTCCTCCTCCTCCTCCTCCTCCTCCTCCTCCTCCTCCTCCTCCTCCTCCTCCTCCTCCTCCGGTAGGCGGTAGGCGGATAGGCTCGGGGGGAGACGCATCGACCCCCCACCGCCCACTCACCGCAGACAGGGGCCTGATAGCCCCTCCCTCCCCAGGACCGTTCGGAGTCGCTGTCGCGGGCCGATCGCCCATCTGTCGGCGACGTATCGCCGAGTCCAGGTCAATGTTTCGCCCCCCCCCGCCCGTGAGCTGCTCCACCCCCCTAACGTTGCCCTCAGAGGCTCCTTCCATCGGCAAAACACATGTTTTTTTTTAAGAGGCTCCTTCCATCGGCTGCTTCGCCGAGAGCTTTCAGCGGGGGGCGGGACTTCTTGGCGGCCTCTGGGCCTTCGGAGGCCGCCTTTGGGGGCCCCCTCGGCCCTGGCGCACCGCCGCCGAGAGCCTCCGTGGAGCTCCTGGCCGCCGCGGGGCCCTGCCGTGCCAAGGGAGCTGCTCGGAGGCCTCCACGGGGCACCGGGGAGGTCGAGGTCCTCGGGGGGCCCACGTCGCGGACACCTCGGCGCGTCGGAGGGTGGGAGGAGTCGAGGAAAGACCAACCGCACAAACATAAGTTTTCGGAGCTCCGCGCAGTTTTCTTGGATCTGCGATGGGCCCCCCTGGGGGCGCCTCCGGCGCCGCCCCTGGCGCGCTACGCGCGCCATGGAGGGGAGTCCAGCGCAGATCCAACAATCGGAGGGCACCACCTATACACCTACACCGATCCAGCCCAGGCCGATCCTAGGCCCAGGATCGGTGTGTATGCATCCTGCCCATGGCAGGAGGGCGTATACACCGATCCTGGGCCCAGGTTGATCCTGGCCGGGACCGGTGTTGGTGTATAGTTGGTGCCTCCCTAAACAAGTCTGCGCGGACCGTCGACAGTTTAAGTTCATCCAGCTTTTCTGGCCCTTGCGGAGGAGAGGGTCTGGGACGGCGTTTTGGACGGGCGGCGGCTGCGTCGCAACCTGGGCCGCCCGTCGGTCGTCGCTCGGCAGCTGCGCGGCCAGACCTGGGCTGGAGATGCCCCGCGGCGGCTTTGGGTTGGCCACGGGGCGCCCACCAGAGTAGGAAATGGTACGGTCGGACCGGGTATATGATCGAGGTTGGTTCGGGGAGGGTGCTCTAAGGTTCTTCGTGTTTGTTGGATGGTCTTGTGCAACCTGGAGGGGGTACCCTTAGATGTTCTGCTTGTGTTGGCCAGCCGGAGGGTCTCATGTTCTTGAGGGATGTTATTCTGGCCTCGGTCCGACTGTACTGATACCGTTGCTCGTCCTTACGAATGTTCGTCACCACGGTTGGATTATCTTCAAAGTTCTGGTCAGAGCGCATTCCAGGACAGGTCCAGGGAGTAGCGGTATCAGTTATCGTTTTTGTGTTCCCCCGACCCAGAGGGTGGCCTCGGGTGGGTGCGATCTTGACGAGATACGCTGCGAGTTGGAGGAGAGGTTCGTTGGGCCCACTTCGGGAGTAGCAGAAGAAGAGGCAGGGACCGCGACAACTGCAATAGGCACGTCAAAGAAGAAACCCGCCTGCCAGCGGGTGCCCCACGGGAGGTTCTTATCCCCCGATGTCCCCAGGGACCCAAAGGGCGGCTGGAGCTTAAGATTCAGAGCAGTTCGGTCAGGACTCGGATGCAAAGGAGGGAGAATTCGGTCCACAACGCTATAGATCACAATCGCGGCGTGGCAAATCGCAGTTCAGCACGGCGCAGCACAGCACAGCCTTCGGCACGGTACATCAATATCGATGTACTTACCGTCGCCCAATCAGGTGTCTTTGAAACGTTGCCATGCCTCACATTTCTATATTCCTTTCTGGGTTCCTGGGTCGATTATGTTTCCAGCTTCTGTCCGTGCCCCGCATGGCCGCCGAACGTTGTTCGATCGGACCCTAAACAAACAATGAGCGGTTTGTCCGTCAAGGGTGACCACGGTGGATGTACCATTGGTTGCGTGCAGAGTGCTTTGCAGTGTGTTGTCCTCGCTCGACGTGCCAATTGTGGTGCAAGTGCACAGCCCGATTAGTCAATCTCGTTTAACCGATGCCTATCCCCATCGCCATCCCGATCCCCCACCGTCCCACCACCCCAGTTGGGGATATACCCTTCGAAACTCGAAGAGAACAGCCTGCATTGCCACTTGAAAGGGCACATCGGACAGTTGAGCCCAGACTATGCCCGTGGAGTAGGGATCGGTTAAACGAAGCGCAGATGCACAGCTCGATTCGTCAGATCGCTAGCTGTTTTCATCGCGGTCGATCGTCACTGTCATTCGCAGCGCCACTTGGCGAGGTCGACTGGGCGAGCCGCGATCCTAGAGGTGCCAACCGGGTCCCACTGCCAGTTCATGCTATATCCAGGCGAGCGGCGCAGAAACACGGGGTCGTCTTCACCGACAATTGCGCGTAAGTTGCCTGCGTAAGCTCGCGCGTAAGCGCCCTCGTCTCGAATGCAGCGTGCCGCGCTGGTGGCCCGTGTAAGCCGCTGCGTAAGTTCGCCATGCCATCTCGCGTAAGACCCGTTTCTTTTCGTCGCTCAGGTGTTGCTCCTTTTGTTCATATGATGTTTGCATCGGATGCTGCGCTGGCTCGTTCGGGTGCTCCGATCACCTGTCTTGCGCACGGCCTTGGAACCAGACCCAGTCCTCCTTCCGATCCCGCCCCGCTCTTCCACCCGCTCTTCTCGAGGGTGCTGCCGCTGCTGCTCGCTCGGCGACGAGGCTGGACTGCTCCGTCGACGGCGCTGCGCGGCCTGTCAAGCTGCACGTGGGCCGCGCCGGGGAGCGCCCCCGGGCGGGGGGAGAGAGCGCGGCAGCAGCGCGCGCACCCCTGAGGGCCCGGGGGCCCCGCGGGGGGACCGCGGGGCGATGGGGGGCCGGAGCGGGGGGGGCGCAGTGAGGAAGCGAGCACGAGGAGCGAGAGAGGAAGCGAGGCCGCTGCTCGTCTCGCAGACGTGGCATCGCTCGGACGTGTGCGTTTTTCCTTCGGCGAGGACCATCGAGGAGCGTCCTTGATCATCTGGCTTTCAAAAAGCCCACGCGCAGAACCGACAAAGAAGCACAGGGAATGGACGTCCGAGCGATGGCGAGCAGCGCCATGGCCGCCTCGGTACGCCCCGGCTTCGAGACGCCACGCGTACCGTGTGCAAGACGTCCGTGCTGAGCCGGCGCGTGTCGGCTCAATGTCTGGGCGGCCGTAGCGCGCCAGGCCTACGTGTTCGGTCTGCGTGTCGAGCTCCCTGTCATCGGGGGCGGAAAAGAGGGGGGTGATGACTAGGGGGGGGTGGAAATCATGGCGGGTGCCATGATATCTCCCCAGATTTCATGGCGCCTCTTCTTATTTGATTAATTACGTCCCAGGCCCCCCCGCTGGGCCGCGCACATGCCGCCGGTCATGATTCTTAGGCTTACGCCACACCGCCGACCCCTTGTTTATGCCAATCTGGGGGTAGTAGAAGCTGCGAAGGGGTGAAAAGGCGAGTGATATTTGTTTGGTGTCTGTTCGCCGCCACCGCCAGAGGGTCTCGGGCAGTTCCGCGGGGGGGTCCGAGCGGACGGCGACACCGCGAGTTTTGGAGCCACTTGGGGGCCGTTTCGGAGCCTCTGGGGTGCTTCTTGGGGGTTCCTTGGGGCGTCTGGGCGGCCTCGTGAGGGCCTCTGGGGGCCTCTTGGGGCACTCTTGGGGCCCCCTGGGGCTCCTGGGGGCAGAAAGCTAGAGTTTCAACATGTTTGGTCGCCCTCTTGGGCCCCTCTTGGTGCCGTCTTGGAGCCCTCTTGGGCCGTCTTGGGGACCTCTTGGGCCGTGTTGGGGCCGTCTTGGGCCGTCTGGAGGCCGTCTTGGGGGCCTCTTGGGCCATCTTGGGGCTGTCTTTGGGGCCTCTTTGGCCGTCTTGGAGCGTCGGGAAGCCGAAAAGGCGGAAAAGCAAAAAACATCGAAAAACACTATGGAAAATCAACAATTTTAGACTCTTGGGGCCCTCTTGGGAGGCTTGTTTGGGACCTCGGGGGCCGTCTTGGAGACCTCTTGGCCCGTCTTGGGGCCATCTTGGGCGTCTTGGAGCGGTCGTTTGGCGTCTCGGGGCCTTCGTGGGCCGTCTTGGAGGCCTCTTGGGGGCTTCTTGGCCCGTCTTGAGGCCCTCTTGGGCCCGGAAAAGCCCCGTGAACCGCTCGTCCCGGCAGTGCTGCGCTCGTCCCGGCCGTGCTGCGCTCGTCCCGGACCCCCCCCCCCCTCCAAATCGACCGGACCGGGCTCCCGGGGGAGGGGTTTGGGGAGGGGGAAGCATCTCACACGCCGATGATCCCCAAGGGGTCGGCGGATTTGCACCCCCCCCCTTCTTGGACACCCCCCTCTTGGCCGCTCCCGATGTCAGCACGCTGCGTGTTGCGTGCTGCCTATCGAGGCAGCTACGTGCAGAGCCCTCGTCGCCACGGTCGGATTCTATTCGATATTCTGGTCTGAGCGCACCCCGGGAGCGGTCCAGGGAATAACGGTATTGGTTGTTCGCTGTCCCCCGAGCGTTGGGCCCACCTCCCAGAGGCATCATTTGGAGGGGGGGATAGGCTCCAGGGGGAAACCTCGACCCCATCGCCCATTGATCATCGATAGGGACTTGATAGCTTTTTTTGCTCAGGACCCTGCGGATTTGCCCTCGGTGGCGAATCGCCGATCTATTGGCGATGTATCGCCGATTCCAGCTCGATGCTTCCCCGAGCTTGTTTCCGGGAAAGGGCTTCGGCCCAGGGTTCTCTTTCAGTTATGTTACCAAAGGCCAGGTCTTTCTTTGCGACGGGCCGGCGAATGTGTTTGCGATAAATAAGGAGGTCGCGTAGGGCCGGCGAGTCAAAATTTGAGGATGTCCCGAGCGGCTGGTGCTTCAAATTCCGATCGATAACACACAGGGTGCGGGACCCATTTGGGTCAGGGGCACGAATCCGTGTCTTTTTACGTGTGCTCCCATACATTGGCCCTCTCCAGGGGCACGAATCCGTGTGGTTTTGCATATGTTCCTGCCCTCTCCAGGAGGCCCCACGAGGGCCCAGGTCACCCAGGGGGGCATCTAACATGGTGGCACCGAGCTGGAACCTCGTGGTTTCTGGTCCAGGCCATTCAGTGGGGTACTTATCTAACATGATTGTCCCGAACTGGAACCACGTGTTTTAACATGGCCAGGCCGCCCAGAGGGGGTATCTAACATGGCGTCGGGCCCAAATCCGAATTATCAGGAAACGCACGGGGGGCCGAAAAGCGCTTCCCGAACACATATCCCTATACAGACAAATGATGTGTTCTTGCTCTGGACAGGGGGTGGCGCTTTGGGGGCCTTTCCAGGGAAGACATTGTGAGGATGTATCCGGCGGGAGCGCGAATTCATCGTATCCAGGCCGCGCAGGGGGGTATCTAACATGGTTGTCCCGAGCTGGCACCAAGTGTTTTTTCGTGTGCAGGCCACCCAGGGGGGTATCTAACATGGTTGTCCCGAGCAAGGACCACGTGTTCGAACGTGTCCAGGCCATTCAGCGGTGTGTCTACCATGGTTGTCCAGAGCTGGCACCATGTGTTTTCACGTGTCCCGGCCATCCAGGGGGGGATCTAACATGGTCGTCCCGAGCAAGGACCACGTGGTTTAACGTGTCCAGGCCACCCAGGGGTGTATCTAGCATGGTTGCGCAGAGCTGGCACCAAGGGTTTTTATGTGTCCCGGTCATCCAGGTGGGTATCTAACATGGCTGTCCCGAGCGAGGACCACGTGTTCTAACGTGTCCAGGCCACCCAGTGGGGTATATAACATGATAGTCCTGTGCTGGATACTAGTGTTTTTACGTGTCCATGCCACCCAGGGGTGTATTTGGCATGGTTGCCCAGAGCTTGCACCACGTGTTTTGATGTGTCCATGCCACCCAGGGGTATCTAGCATAGTTGTCCCGAGTAAGGACCATGTGTTTTAACGTGTCCAGGCCACCCAGGGGGGTATCTAACATGGTTGCCCAGAGCTGTGTCCACGTGTTTTTACATGTCCAGGCCTCTCAGTGGAGTATCTAAAATGATTGTCCCGAACTGGAACCACGTGTTTTAACATGGCCAGGCCGCCCAGAGGGGGTATCTAATATGGCGTCGGGCCCAAATCCGAATTATCAGGAAACGCACGGGGGGCCGAAAAGCGCTTCCCGAACACATATCCCTATACAGAAAAGTGTTGTGCTCTTGCTCCAGACCAGGGGTGGCGCTTTGGGGGCCTCTCCAGAGAAGACATTGCGATTCGAGCGAAACGCTTGTTTTGTGTTGTAGATTGTTCCTCTCCTGGGGGCCAGAATTCAAAGGGAATCTCAGGTCAAATGCTTGTTCCCCACATCCTGAGTGGGGTTCTTGTTTTCCTAAAACATCCTCTCCTTCTCCCTCCCGCCTCCCGCCTCCCATATCAATACCATTTCCACCCCTCCAGGGAGGCCCCGCCTGAGCGAGGAGTGTATCGGAAAACCATACTATTTAATCGCTTCGCTCATTCCGCCGGCCCATACAGTCTCATGTCTGCCGTTTGCCCGAGGGCCCGGTGTCAATGCGGCGCTTTGGGGGTTCCTGGGGCCGCTTGGGGGACTCCTGGGGCGCTCGGGGGGGCATTTGGGGGACTCTTGGGGGCCTCCTGAGGGCCCCGTGGGGGCCTCTTGGGGCCTCTTAGGGGCCTCGTAGGGGCTTCTTAGGGCCGAGGGCTCGAAATGTTGTTTCGTGTTCCCTCTCTGGGGCCCCTTTGGGGGCGTTCTTGGGGCCCTCTTGGACCGTTTTGGAGGCTTCTTGGGCCGTCTTCGAGCCCTCTTGGGCCATCTTGGGGCCCTCTTGGGTGCCTCTTGGGCCCTCTTGGGGCGATCTTGGGGGCCTCTTGGGCCGTCTTGGGGCGTCGGGAAGCCGAAAAGGTGGAAGCTCCAAAATCTCTCAAAAACCTATGGAAAAACAATGATTTTTGCCTCCGGGGGCCCTATTGGGAGTGCTCTTGGAGGCCTCTTGGGGCGTCTGGGGGCTATCTTGGGCGTCTTGGAGCGATCTTGTGGCATGTCGGACCCCTCGTGTACCATCTTGGGGGCCTCTTGGGGGCCTCTTGGCCTTTCTTGGGGCTCTCGGGGACGTCTCGGAGCCCTGTTGGTGCGCTCATGGAGCGCTCGGGGGGACCCGGCCGGGACCCGGCCGGGACCCGGCCCCGGCCGGGGACCGGCCGGGACCTGGTCGGGGTACTTTTCGTCCGGGGACCCCCAGGGGCCGCCCCGCGCGCGCGAACTAGAAAATTGTTAACCAGTTACCGGAGATCTTAGCACGCCTCTGGCCCGTTGGGCCGGCGAATTTACATGGTTTCGTGCCCTTCCCACCTCTCCAGGGAGGCCCCGCCTCAGCGAGGAGGGTATCGGACACCCATTATATTTACATGGTTTCGCGCCCCTCCCACCCCTCCAGGGAGGCCCCGCCTGAACGAGGAGGGCATCGGAAACCCATACTGTTTACATGGTTTCGTGCCCTCCCACCCCTCCAGGGAGGCCCCGTCTGAGCGAGGAGGGTATCGGAAACCTATACTATTTTCATGGTTTCGTGCTTCCCCACATCCTGAGTGGCCCACCCCTCCAGGGAGGCCCCGCCTGAGCGAGGGGGGTCTCGGAAACCCATGCTATTTTCATGGTCTCGTGCCCTTCCCACCCCTCCAGGGAGGCCCCGTCTGAGCGAGGAGGTCGCTAATTCGTGTCGTTCGCCGATTTGCACAACCCCGACGAGTTCCTGAGTTGTGATTTGCCA